CCCCGTGGCCTATACTTATATTCTTCAGCATAATATTGGGCACGCCTTGGCTTTTATGGAGGCTTTTGTCTTCAATTGTCACAACCGAGAAGACAGGTATAGTATACCACTATTTTGTCCGTCAATATGGAGATTAACGTATGATTTGATGAATGAATAGCGTGTGAAAAGTGGGCGACGGGTGAGGGCGAGCACTACGAGGCGACCGCACTCTATAACTTTCAAACAGATAATCCTCGAGAACTGCCGTTCACTGTCGGCAACAAGATTATTGTGGCGCCAAAGGGTACTCATATTTATAGCAACCCTTTCATTAACTTTTATTAATATATTTTATGTTTTATACAGAACTACAGCCGAGAGTTAGGGGATGGCTGTTGGCCACCATTGATGGCCAGAAAGTGGGTCTCATTCCCGCCAATTATGTCCGTATCGTTGGCTGTCGTAACCCAAAGACTCCACTTTCAACAGATAATAATTAATATTATTTGTATTGTTATTTACAATGTTTTATACAAAGTTACAATAGTTTTGAGTTTATTTTCCATTCAAGTAAATCGTGAGAAATAGGTTTTTATATTCAATATATTTTTATAACATTTGAGACACAATTTTCGTAAAATAATTCAATGGTAATAAATGTCCAAATAATGTAGTTTTCATTTGTTGAAGTAATTTTGTTTGTTTTGTAAAATATTTAATAAAATTTATTATAAAATGAAAATTAAATTGATTCTAATATTGAATACTAAATCATATATTTTTAGACGTTTGTAACGAAAGAGAGGATAAATTTCTTATTAATCTATATAAAAAGAAACTAAAATAAAACCATTTTTATACATTTCACATTTTTCAATGCATTGCAATGTATGCAAGCGCTTCAAAATGTGGTCATAAGTTATGCCTCATAACTCGGCTATTTATGTCCATTCGTGCCCTTTGTTTTCGGAATACACATCTCATAAGTGTACTGACAAGTGAGCAAAACCATATCAACCTGGTACCAATTTGGCTGCATAATAGAATATATTTTTGAGTACAACCCGTTCTGATCGACTGTTTACTTCACGGACTTGGGGTCATTGCTACACAACCCGCTCTACCGTTTGACTCCCTGTCCACTCGTCAGCTAAACTAAGACATATAAATAATGTACAAAATTTAAATTTAATTTGTTATATCTAATAAGTTATATGTTTTGTCAATTTCGTCAAAATTAAGAAATTCTTTCAGAATTCTATTCTTCTCACCAAAAAAGTGTATGAAACAGATTTATATACTTATTCATTCAATTTTAAATATCTGCCAGGATGAAATTTCCAGATTAATTCTATGGATATAATTTGATTTAACTTTTAGTGCTAATGGTTAGGCTAAGGATAATGTTAAGTCAATAAATAATTGTGACTTTCATTATTAATAACTTACAAATACAATGATACTTTAGTTCTCCACTTTATATCTAATTTAGCAACTTATATTCTTATGTGTAATACTACTGTATTTGTATTTGTCGATGTCAAGTCTATTGGCAATGCTAATCACATGACACTTTATATAATTGTTATTTTAAGCACTTTAATTTTTATGTTGCCTGACACAAATTGTGGTTAATCTATAGCTTTACTCCCAAA